TATATATATATATATATATATATATATTATATATATATATATGTATATATTATATATATATATGTCTGCAAATATATATAATATATTACGCATTATATTTATATAATATTTATAATATATAATATACATAAATATATAATATAATATATAAATTTAATAAATTTTCTTTATATTAAATAATAATAACAATAATAATATATAATATGGCTAACGCAAACATAACACAATTCCATAACATAAGGGTTTAGGGTTTAGGGTTTAGGGTTTAGGGTTTAGGGTTTTGCGTTTCAGGGTGCGAAGGGTTTAAAGAGTGTTTTTTATATAAACGGGGAGACAGCGAAGCTGCATGATGTGCAGAGACAGCGCATTTGTCTGTCTCTTAGGGTGGACAATTATTTATGTTTCATGCAGCAAGACAAAGTCTCTCTCTTCGGCTCTCTGTCTCCTAAAGACCTTCTTCTTTATACCCTACAGGTCTCCTCCTCCTGCTGCTGCTGCTGCTGCTGGTGCTGATGTTGATGTTGATGCTGCTGTTGCTGCTCCTACTGCTGCTGCTGTTGTTGTTGGTGGTGCTGATGTTGATGCTGCTGTTGCTGCTCATCTTGGTGCTGCTGTTGCTGCTGCTGTTGTTGGTGCTGCTGTTGCTGCTGCTGCTGTTGGTGTTGCAGCTGCTGCAGCAGCGAAGTTGTTTTGCTGCTGTTGCTTCTGTTGCTCCTGTTTCCTGTTGCTGCACTGCAGCAGCCGCAGCAGCTGCAGCAGCTGCAGCAGCAGCAGCAGTCGATGCGATGATGTTTGTCTTAGGCTATAAATGAGGAGGACTCGCGATGTCTGTTGACGCTGCAGCAGCAGCAGCAAGAGCTGCAGCAGCAACTCGCCACCCTCTGCAGTCTCCGTGATCAGTGTCTCGTGCTGCAGCAGCAGCAGCAGCAGCTACGCCAGCAGCAGCAGGATCTGGTAGACTTCTACAACCTAAAGAGACACATCACGCTCTGTCGCGGGCGCATACTCCGAGTATGACAGCCTGCTGCTGCTGCTGCTGCTGTTGCTGCTGCTGTTGCTCATGCTGGTGTTGGTGCTGCTGCTGCTATTACCCCTGCTTCTATCGTTTTTGCTGCTGTTCCTAGTTTTGTCTCCTCCTGCTGCTGCTGCTCATGCTGTTGCTGCTGCTTCTGTTGTTGCTGCTGCTGCAGTTGTTGGTGTGTTGCTGCTGTTGCTGTTAGCCCTAGACTACTCCTGTATTGCCGCTATGTGCATTTGCTGCAGCAGTCCTTGCTGCTGCTTCTGGTTGTGTCTGTTGCTGCTGCTAGCCCAGAGTGTTGCTGCTGCTGCTGCTACTACTACTACTGCTGGCGTCTCAGCTTGCCTTTGCTGCTGCTGTTGCTGCTGTTGCTGCTGTTGTTTCTGTTGTTGCTGCTGCAGCTGGAGGCGGAGGAGGCTTATGCTGGCTTCAAGTCTCTGAAAGAGCAATTAGCAGCAGCAGCAGCAGCAGCAGAACCGCAAGTGCAGCAGCTGCGACGGGCGAGAGAGACAGCAGCAAAAAAGAGACAATTGCTGCAGGAGCAGCAGCAGCGCCAGGCGCAGCAGCTGAGTGAAGCAAACGCGTTGAAGGAGAAGGCTCTACAAACAATACAAGATATACACAAAGTACACACATCTGCTGCTGTTGCTGCTGCTGCTACTGTTGTTGTTGCTGCGCCTGCTGCAGCAGCAGCAGGGAATGCCTCTGTCTTTTTTTGCTGCTTTTTTGTGTCTGTTGCTGCTGCTGCTGTTGCTGTTGCTGCTGCTTTCTTTAGCTGCAAGTGCTGCAGCAGGAGCTTGCCCTTATGTTGGTGGTGCTGCTGCTGGTGTGTATGCTGCTGCTGCGCTGCAGCAGCAGCAAGCGGACGAAGAAGCAGCAGCAGCACTCGATAGCTACCCGCATCAGCTGCAGGCGCTGCGTCGGAGACTGCAGCTGCAGCGCGAGAAGGCCCTTGACCCCAAGGCCGAGTGTCTTATGCTGCAGGAGACACTGCAGCAGCTTCGCGAACGCAAGCAGCAGCAGCAGCAGCAACAGCAGCAGCAGCAGCAGCAGCAGCAGAGTTCTTCGGCGGAGGTAAGAGCTTTCAGTAGATCCAACAGGAGATGCTGCTAGCTGCAGCAAATCACAGCTAACTAGAGCAACCCCACATAAAGCTGTGCTGCTACTTCTGCTGCTGCTGCTGCTGCTGCAGGGGCCGCTGCTGCCTGGCAGCATTGGGGAGACAGAGAGACAGCTGCAGCAGCAAACGGAGACTCTGTTTCACTTGAGGCAGCAGCAAAGTGCTGCTGCGCGAGAGCTGCGGGGTTTACGCGGGGCGCTGC